CCCCCGTCGGGCAAATCCTGGCGCCACCCCTGACCCTATCAGGAAAATCTAGCAGGGGTGGCACCATTGAGGGGCAGGGAGAGCTACCCCAGCCCCTTTGTCGGGGATAGCTGCCCCCACCTCTTAGTAGACCGTAAAATTGATTAAATAAGCCTTTGAAAAACCTAAATTGTCAAAACTCTAGACCACTTTGGAAATATTTTGAGCGCGATGACCAATCACGCCCACTTTGCTCTCGTTGGAGACATTCGTCTTCCTCGTCGGGGCATATACCCTCCCCCTTCGGGCAAATCTTGGAGCCATCCCTGGAATGTAATATGATTATTCGTTGTGGACAGAGTGGGTTACGGTTAGGCTATAGCTTCAAAGTGATCCAGTAAAAAGTCTTTTTATCGTCTGTTAAGGAGGTCATCTCTTATAAAATTCTGTCAGGGCCTTATATGTATTGGCCATTTAGAATGTTAACTTTGAATACCGCATTTAAAAAAAGTAGCCATACATTCCGTATTTGACGTTAAAATATATAATATAGTTAATAGGTAATATAGCTTTATTGACGGCAAATAAATTTTACAAATGTTAAATACATTTTATTCTACAAAATATACAAATTTTTAGTCTTAGCACTTGTCAAAAGTATCGATTGATATTATAGAATTTTAATTACTCAATGTATACCATTTATTGGACTAAACGATTGTCGATTTATAAATTGCAACATGTACAAACAACTTACCAGCCTTTGGGTAGGTCACAATAAATACATCGTCATCTCGAACTTCGAATGATCGAGCAAGATCGACCATGTCAGGTCGTACTTGTGGCGGGTACCTGTTACCCTCTAGGACTACAAACCCAGAAAACTCTCCCTCCTTTGGGATGCGGTCGGCGGTGCAACTCATTATCTATTTTGTCGGTGGGCACTGTTGTTTTCAACTAGGGACAATTGTGAGGGTTTACGAATAACGTACGTCCCGCGTGAACCTTATTTATATGCAGTAAAATGCTCATCTTGCTCATTTGATATTCTAGAATATGAGGGCTCCTGTCTTTATTGTCCTTGTTGCTTTGTATGACATCGGCCATTTCATATTACTATATCATACATTTTCAAATTTTAAAGTAAGATTATATCTTAATAGCCCCAAATAATAATAATAATAATAATAATAATAATAATAATAATAATAATAATAATAATAATAATAATAGTAGTAGTAGTAGTAGTAGTAGTAGTAATAGTAGTAGTAGTAATAATAATAATTTAAAATAATAATAATTATTATAATTATTATAATAATAATTATTATCATTATTACTCATTTTTTATCTAATACAATAGAGTATTTAACACAGATATGACTAGGATTCTTTAAAAATGTTTTATCGTACTATCATTTTGGTTAAAATTGTGAAAATATTGACAACAAAATAATATGAAATGTTTATTGGGTAAATATTTCATATTATATTTAGTCAATTCTGTAGCAGAATGATAAAGCGTTTTATGTGTATTCATAAAAAAATTAATCTATTGTATGTTTTCATACTTACATTGCAAATTAAGAATTTGAGTATCTGAATAAGAGGTTTACTGTTTAAAGAATATATATAAAATTTTTTTAATAGATGTCTTTCATTGGTCAGTAATAAACTTGAAGATTTTCGTAGCTTATAATCAGCGATAATTATTTGTTTCTTTCATTATTTGCAACATCTGAAGATTGTGGTTTGTTTGATGATGATGATAATAATAATAATAATAACAACAACAACAACAACCACAATAATAACAATAATAATAATAATAATAATAATAATAATAATAATAATAATAATAATATGTAGGCTTTTTATATATATTATATTATATCATATTAGTTTATATTCTATTGAAAGCTTTATAGGTACTGATTGAATAATTGAATAAGAATCTTTGCTCAACATAAACCACTAGTAAGAACATGCTCTGTATAAATATGTATACACATCTTTATTTATATATTTAAAATATATACATAAACATGTACGTTTTTGGGCATATGTATTTTTCTACCGAAAGGTCCACTGACTAATCTCAGATAAGATAGTATAATACATACTCCAAGTATCGAAATGCACGCCATCGTGTCGGGATTCAATATTTCTACATTAATTATGTCATCATCAGGAATATCATCATCATTCCTGAGTATGTATTATACTATTGTAACTTTCTATTTTCCATTATTTTATTTAGGCTTAGTACACTTTAAGTGTATAGCTAGCTAGTCTAGCTATAGAACCTAAATTAAACTGAATACGTTGTTTCGCAGGCATTGGCCAATCGTAATATGCAAATACCGATGCTAGGCCTTCAGATCACGAGTTAAAACAGACTGAATTAAAAGAGATTCAATAAAAAGCTATGATATGCATTTGTTACTGGTAGTGGCGATTCAAAAGTCGAGTCGATAAATGTATTTTCAACAGTGATAGTCCAGATAGGCGTAATACCAATGTCACAGAAATGCTAAAGTGGCCCACCCTGGAAATAAGAATACATCAACGGCGTCTTACCCCTGTCTCTTATACACATCTCATTTTATTCTACAAAATATACAATTTCCCATATTGTAAAGTCCCGTTTCCAATCCTCACATTATTTTAGAAAATCGATATCATACACCCATGACCATCCAACATTTACAATATAGCTTATAGACCTGGCTCTTATACACAGCTAGATGTGTATAAGAGACAGCACCACAATCTTTAATATCGTTCCACACTCTTCTGTATACTACCAATGTTTCTCTTATTTTGCAAGAACTATAACATTAGCAATTTCCATGTCATTTAACAACATTCTACTTGGACGAAATTTTCGTATTTGTACAGTAAGGCATGTCCAATTATATATTTTCTAAAATCGTTATTTAATATAATACTCATTTATTTAATTAAATGGCTCTAACTTCACAAATTATCAGTTTATGGTGTGTTTATTTTGATTGTATTCGCTGTGCTTGATGTTGTTGTTGCTTGTTGAACCATGTTGCCTGAGGTTTTCTTGGGGTATTATTGTTTTATCCACACTAATAATGTTCTTGAATTGTGAGAGTCTGCTTTCGCTTCGCAACAGTTAATAAAAAACAGTGTACATTACCAGTACAGCTAGTACCAGTAAAATATGCACTTGATTTTTAGCATATTTTTTTATTATGGCTCTTGCATTTCAGTCTGCCTGAACACGCAATCTGTAAACGTACCATCGGTATCTGCCCATCTGCTATCGATAAATTTCTAAGAGACATATATTTAGTACTCCTAGCTAACAATTTTACGTTATGATGGCTTACAAAACATTTTTGAAGAACTATAAACACGTAATCATAACGTAATTTATGTCTATATCTGTACTCATTTATATTATATCTGTTTATTCCTTTATTGTTTATTGTTTTTCAGTAAGTTGTATTGTTATTATATTGTTATTTTTTTACTGATTTTTTTAAGTAATATATTTTAAAATTCTGAATACCCGCTGAATGGATGAGAGATGAAATATTACCAAATAAATAACGTCGCAAACGCTTCTACAACTTTATGTCAATGTTTTCGGACATAACTTGACCACAACGTTCACAAACGCACGTGAGTGTTATAATAACACACACACACACCAACATCCACACACACACACACCCCAAACCACCCCACATACATACACACACACACCCACACACACACACACATATATATATATATATATATAATTATATATATATGTATATACATATATATATATATACACATACACACATACGCACATACACACACACATACATACATATATATATATTATATATATTTTATATATAAATATATATATACTGTACATATACATATATACATAAACATATATATTATATATATATACATACTTATACAGTATATATGATGTATTGTAGAAATAATGAGTAAAGGCAGATGTATGCTCATACAAAACTCATACACTTTGTTGTATGTCTATAATTTTATCGGGAAATAAATTTTTCCGACATCAACGGAAAAAACTCTTTGTGTCAATGGGCGTAGTAATCGGCGTAATAATTTCAATCATAATTGCATTTCCTCATGAGGATATACAACCCCGGACCCCTTTTCTGGTTGCGGATTGAAATTACCTCGCTCCGTGCACCGATAACTCCTTGGAAATTATTTTATTGTGTACAGTGTATTGAGTGTGGTGGTCAAGAGTGGGCGGGTCCATATAGTTAATTCTTAGCCCAGTAGACACAGATACTTTTTTTCGACATCAGCGGAAAAACTCTTTGTGTCAATGGGCGTAGGTACACCCCAATGGGTGTCACTCGGTCGGCGTAATAATTTCAATTTATTGCATTTCCTCGTGTGGATATACAGCCGGACCCCTTTTCTCGTTGCGGATTGAAATTACCTCGCTCCGTGCACCGATAACTCCTTGGAAATTCTTTTTCCCGCCTGCCACCCCTTCCTCCTCTAATACACTAAGGCGCTACGGCACCTCCTGCCGCTTGAATCGTTGGCCACTTTTTAAGAATATTTACTATGGAAATTAATTTAGGGACCGATCGTGTGCGACAGTCCCTTTGCCTATTGTCGTAATAAATCACGACCGAATCACATTATATCAGATCATCTGTTACTTTATTGTGTACAGTGTATTTAGGGTGGTGGTCAAGAGTGGGCGGGTCCATATAGTTAATTCTTAGCCCAGTAGACACAAATAAATTTTTCATAAAACTATTATTATTTTTATATTTCATAGATAAAAATGTGTGTTCAGAAAACTACAATCGTATGAATATTGAAAATAAACTAAATAGTGAATATTTGTATAGCAACGGTATTAGTCAACTGACGCTCATGCGCTCGATGCACGGCCATGTTGCATTCAGTAACTTCTAGCTACCAGGAAAACCGGTACGGTACCTGCTATCTTCTTCTGTCCACCGCTGGGCTGTGTGAACCAGAACATTAGGGCAGATCCCTCTACTCATCTCGAAAGATGTACTGGTTTCTTTAAAGTGACATGAACTTATACGTGTATGATTTTGCTTTATATTACTCTGTGTTTTAAACTTACCCCATGTGGCCCAACATACCCCACTGTGGTCAGATTACTTATGGTCAATATGCTGTTTTCATGGAAATACCTATCTACCATAATTCATTTTAGAGTGCTTTACATTCTTTAAAATTAGTCAAGCGCTCCCCTAATAAATATCATTGTTATTGTTGTTTTGTTGTGTTATTGTTATTAATATAAATATTTTTTATTGAAGGTTTTCATGGCGAAGTAATGATATAATAAATGTTTGTGGTATACCAGAGATCGTTCTAAAATGAACTGTTGTTTTTGTTAAGAACTCAACGTTTCAATTGCTTCAATTTTCATTAGGAGAATTATTATGTTATTCTCTTGATAAAGATTGAAGCAACTCAATCGAAACGGCGAGACATTCTTAACAAAAGCAACAATCTCGTTTCAGAATTATCTCTACTTGGTGTACCGCACGGCATTTAATATATGAATAATTATTAGGTTTCCCTTCAATTAAGGACCACTTTTGGGACTGGTATTTTCATGGTCCTCATCAGCTTTTGTCTCTCATTAAAATAATAATAATAATAATAATAATAGGCATTTGTTAATTTAGGACCACAGAAAAGTGGTCTTAATTGGAGGTGGTCTTTAATTGGAGGGGTTTTCAATTATAGGGAAACCTTTATAATCTATGATAGTAGTAGAAGTAGCAGTATTGCTAGTGAAATTGTACTAGTAAAATTGACAATAAGATCGACCTTGATGTAATGTTTGATAACGAATTGTTACAGTACAGTATGCAATTATTAGAATGAGTTTTTTTACTGAAAATTTATTAATAATTCAATCTTAAAATTGCAACTTCAAATAATACGGTAATGCCAGCTCACAAATCAAATAATAATGAAATCTTCAGATATGTTGTTAAAGATCAGTTTGAATGTACAAATAATATCGATTTGTCAAAGCTCTGTAAAAGTCTATTGAATTCGTCCTGGGTTCACGCCATCGCGCAATCGAAATCTCTCTTGTATTTAATTCTGAAAATTGTAGTTATTTAATGGGCAAAGAAAGTACGATGATGAGAATAACCGTTACAGTTTAGCCCTGTTTGTTATTCAGTAGTTCGTCATAATGGCCAAATGACACTAATGTCGAAGCAGCCCATATGTTTGTTTTTTTTTGTTACACCGTGTATCAATAATTAAAACAATGATCTCCAATGAAAGTCTAATCATTTAAAATCAACTTAAATTTCAAACTTGATGTGTTGTTTTAAGCTTGAACCATTCATTCTTTCTTCATAATATTTGTCGAAAGCTTCGTTTTGTGCCACAGTAAATTTGTTTTTCCAATCACCGACTTGACCTGAAATTATAGAAAAAAGTAATCTGTAATAAACCTGCTGGTCAATACCAATGATGTCTAAAACACGTGGAAATTAATAACAACAACAACAATAATAATAATGATAATAATAATAATAATAATAATAATAATAATAATAATAATAATAATAATAATAATAATAATAATCTCGTAGTAATGCTATCAATATATTGACGTAAAAAAAGAATCTGCAAGTGTAAAGGAAGGTTTTCACAATCAGCAACGACATAGAACCTTCTAGTGTTTTGCAGACATCTACCAACTGGTCCATTGAATTCAAATCACATTAGAAGCAATTGCTTTTTCACACTCTTACAAATGCGTGGAAAAATTCTAGTTCTGGATACTTTACAAATAACTTAATGCATTGCAAAGTTTAACCTAGTTATGATAACAAGGTCGAGGAGGGCCTTCAAGAAAAAAAAAACATATTCAATACTGCACCTTTTCGGAGTATTTTGAATGGGATAGCCTCTCGTACTTTATCTGGAACTGATGCTTTTGGTAATTTTCCGTCAAATTTCTTGTTCATTCTTGAGAAGTCGGCAAGGTTGACAAGTTTATCTAGGGTTTCCTCTGATGCTGGATGTCCTAAGAAACTGGCAATATCTTCAATAACCGACCTGACGTCCTGAAGAATCAGAAATCACAATCACAAAACAATTAATCAATCCATATTACAAATATATTATAAAAGAAATTTGAAATTATAGGATTTCGGAAAACTCTTATTAAGGCCGAGGTCACAAGCTGAGTTTAGTGGTCGAATTTGGTTTGAATCAATCTTTGTGTTGTGGCCTATATTTTAATTAAATTATTTCATATTTTGGCAAAACATATATTAAAAAACGACTTAATGATTATTTATTATAATTATTATTAAAAACAATTTTGTTTAAATGAATGTTGACAATATCTTACCAGCTTCATATCCTCATATGTTGTCCAGTAGAAGTTCTTTTCATTTCTGTGTTTCCAGTATGTTAAGTTATAGTTGAACCACGAACGTCCGGGCACTGTGAAGATATTTATATGACGGTAAGTAATATGTTGCGTGAATACGAGTATTCAGTAGATTTTATTTGGAATCGCTTTAGAGCTAGCGGCACACGTCAATTTGATAGTACTGTACATACGTATACAAGCTAAATATACAGTACTGTACAAAATAAAATACAAACGTTTACCAAATTCAAGAAATATAGTCCTAAAATCTAAGCAAGTAGACTTTATAAAGTAACACACCACACAATCTACACTTTTTTCTTCATTCCAGACAGCGCCACCAACGAGAAAGTTAATTTAGAGACGGAATAATAATAATGATTAAAAAAAAGAAGTCGAGTATGGGACGCCAATTAAATGGGTATGGCGCGCACTAAGTGCAATAAAGAGTGAGTAACCTAAAATTAGGGCATGGGACCCAGGCTCAACAAATCCTGTCCAGATTAGGCATGTTTTCAAATTGTCAACAAATTAAAACACATTTAACAAATTTAATATTTAAATTTCCTATAAGTTTAATCTCTATAAAGAAAGATTATTATAATACCGGTATGTCTTAATTAATCATAATGTTCCCACTTTAAATACAAAATACATCAAAATGTAATATTTTATTTGAAATAGAGTTTTAGTTTGATCCGTTATTTTTTACAATGTTGTAGCATCACTTTATTACGGTATCTTAGCCTTTTGTTTTGTAGCGTTTCTTATTTTGTAAGCTTATTTTTGTTACGTTATTTAGACAATAAACATTTTTTGAATTCGACGCTTGAACAGTCATACGTTTTTATCGTAATGGTTTAAGGTCTACTTACTTTCTTCTGACATGAAACACTTCAAGAAATTTTCCCAGGTGTCGAATTCCTCAGCATATCGGAATGGTTGCGCAAAATGAAAGTACGATACGACGGAATCTTTTGGATTTCTAACCACAAACACAATCTACAATATAAGTAAAATATATTTTCTTTAATGTTTAAATCAGTTTTGTCTTAACTCGACAATAAAGACCTTGCTACCAACAAAATCATAGATTAAAAAATATATCATCTCAAAAGCAACGATTTACTCTCTGTGTGGACAAAGTGCGGACAGAGTATAACCTTTCTTTCATACTGTGTCAACAGAGCCAATACTGTTATACTAAACCTCACTATGAAATCAAAATGAAATATTTAATGCATTAATGCACTGGGCGGCCAATGAAACTTGTGTATAATCATGATTTCCTGTATTATAATTTTTTTAATCAAAAAATATTAAAATGAATATATATAACGTGCACATGAATGATTAATTTGGTACTGTACTTTTTCTTTATGTCGTCTATGTATATACTTTTGTATTTAATAAAGTTTCTCTTATTTAGCCTTGATACAATTATTATGGTGCCTCGGAAATTATATCTTTCTAGTGTGGCTTGTATTAATATTTATCCAAATTAGAAATAAAAATAACAAGTATGCATTTGTTCTGATTTTACCTTTGCTTTGCCGCTGAATGCCGCTTTTGGTAAGAGTTCTTCGTGGAGATGAGTGACGATGACGCGTTGCTTGTCACGTGGTTTCTTTGCGTAATCGGCGAGTGTGGTGAAATATTCCAAAGGTTTTGGGTGGATACCGAACAATTTCTCTGCTTTTTCGTAATCACCATCGGCTAAGATACTCTTCACAATCTCAGTCATCCAATGAGTTCCTTTATAAGAAATAGATTTTAATGAATAACCTTTATCAACTTCGTGTAGGCCTATAGGGTATTGTATTAGTTCAATAACGTACACAAAACAATCATCTGTTGTATAAAATGGGGTAAAGATTAATATTTATAGTAAACAATAAGATGCTAGGAATGTTTAGGTCTACAACATTAACATTATAATAATGAAAGAACATTATTTAAACACCACGTTAACAAAGTTATTATAGAACAGCAATATTATAACTTAATAAAAAAAAAAGATGACAAGGATTAAAATAATAAACAGTTTTATTGTCTGACGAAAATCCACTGGTAGTGAACGAAACGTAGCAGTACGTGTACTTACTTGGTTTTAATATTAAAAATACTACAAATCATTAGGATAAAAAAGATACTACTTCAATTAGCTTATAGGAAATTTAAGACATTAAACCCGGTTTCTTCTATAATAATTATGATAAGCCATAGCCAACCTTGTTTTTATATCAATTTGGCAAAAACATTCGTTGTTGAACACATACAATAGATAATTTACAATACTTTTACGAGCCTATGTATTGCTATATATATTAATTGACGAAAAATAAGTATAACAATAATTGATATACTCACTTTTCGCAATTATTGTTTACTGTCCTCCAAAAAATAATAATTTGCCTATGTCTTACTTCAAACATGAATAAGAGCACTCAATGTCAATTAAGTTAGCCTACACAGTGTACAAATTAAATAATTAATTAAATATATTCTAGCGGACGTGCAAACTAATGCAAAACTATTAAATACTTACCAGCCTTTGAGTAGGTCACAACAAAGACATCGTCATCTCGAACTTCGAATGATCGAGCAAGATCGACCATGTCAGGTCGTACTTGTGGCGGGTATCGTTCACCCTCTAGGACTACAAATCCAGCAAACTCTCCCTTTTTTGGGATGCTGTCGGCGGTAACTTTGGCCATATCGTTACGACTCATGATTGGTTCGTCTGCAGGGGTTGTTATCAGTCTGTTTAACTCGAAAAACTGAGAGAGGAATGATAACTCACGTCCCGTATAAACCTTTTTATAGGGATGTTTATCTGGCGCACTTGTTATTCTAAAAACATAAGGGCTCCTGTTTATTCTTTTTATTGCCTGCTTAAATCTTAACGAGTAATCCGTAGTGATCTGTATCATCAACATTATATTTGGCTCATCTTTTTTTATACATATTGTTTTTATTCAACGTTTATTTATTTATTTTTTTTTAATTTTATTTCATTTCACATCCAACAGCATCCGCCATTAAGAGAATGGAATACATGTAACAGTAAAAATAAGATGAAATACTAAACAAATAAAAGGAGTAAACAAAAGTCTGCGAAAGCCTACTAACAAATCTATATAGGCCTCATGATTGTGTTTGTTAACAATGTTGATCAATAAAAAAAGTATCTGTGATAAACCTAAAATATTGAAAAACACGTTGGTGTCATCCAAAATAGGCTTATTACCAAAGTGTCCGCTCTGGGCATACATAATTTATCAATAAATATACTAAGTCTGGGCGTAGGCCTTATATTTTGTTTAGCCCATGTGTATCTCGGGGTCTGTTGTTGCGTTGACTTAGATAGTGTTAAAGTACTCCACGTTTTATTGGTTAGGCTTGCTTGCTTCCCTTAAGATCAAATGCCTGCATTAAATATGGAAAACCTAGTGAATATAGTATAAATTGTGACGTTGTCCATTTGTAATCATTATATACTTAATGTTTTTTTTTTATAATTTGTATTTTTTATACAGACAATGTATTTATTTTTCCAAATTCAAGTATTTTCATATTATTATTTCATTATTAGGCATTTGATCTAAATTATTATTAAAATTAAATTAATTATAATTAAATTATTATTGATTTAGTTTGTTATTAATTTGTTTAAATTGATTGATTATATTATTATTACTATTATTGTTGAATTTTGTATGGTAACATCATGTGCATAAATGTAGCCTACACATAATATATTGATTTAGCCTACACATAATATAATGATTTCAAATTAGCAATGACCTATCTCTATTATTTTAATATAGTTTCTTTTCTTAAAGGGGCGTCTACAACAGTTAGTTCGGTCTTGACAATTCTTGGCTTTTGGAATGTTTCTCTTGTTTACCTTTTTACTATATGTTTTTTCTTTCCATGAGACGAAGTTGAATAAAACAAAACAAACCAGATTATATGTATTTTAACGGTATATAATATTTAATTTTGTTTGATATAACAAGCTAGGCCTATATCAAAAGTCAGAACATTAGCGCATAGAATGTACGGCTGTAAAAATAATTACAGTTTATTGTCATATTGCCGACCACGCTCTATTCACTAATGTTCACGCCAGGATAATATTTAGATCAAAGCTAAGCGAAATGTTTGAACATTATAGTTATTATATATTCGATCTTCAAAATGAGCAATTATATGTTTTAATTATAATTATTATGGGTTTTCCAAATGTTACCGCGCTACAAACAGTGTTAAATTAATTATTAACAAAGTTAATGGACTATGCAACATTTTTAGCAGGTTATTATGTTACTAATTGCAGAGGAATATATTTTCTTTTTTAGTTCTCTATAGTTTCTTTTATTAGTTTTTAATCGAAATCTAACAATTCACTATATTATATACAGCATTATAGATGAAAAGGACAGTGCATTACATACTTCAATTTATTCAAGCTTTCATTCTAATTTTTTTTAATTTCTTCTGTTAATTATTTACCATTCCCTTTTGTTGTAATATTTATTTTAAAATCTCGATTTTGCTTTTATTTTTGTCTTTTATAAATCTGTTTATTTCAAGATATTTTTTTAAATAGTAATAGTTTAATAACAGTATTTTATGTACTATACGCTATATAAATACACAGCCACTACCACTAACATTACAATTTAATTATTTCATTAAATTTTAGTTTTTATTTTCCCTTTACCTCTTTAAATAATTGATGTAAAGGCTCATTTCTAAGTTAGGGCCCATGTATATATAGACAAATATATATATATATATATATATATATATATATATATATATATATACACTTCCATTT